GGGGGTTAGGAGGATTCGCGCAGGGTGGGTACCGGGTTCTGGAGCGGGAGGGGCTGATGTTTGAGTAAGATTTTCCCATGGCAATTGGTGGTAGGCTATATCCTTCCCCCTCGCCAACTGGTCATAACAAACACAAAGGGTGGTGCCCGAGGCAACAAAGCTATTATCCCTTATGCATACTATCTCAGTTTTAAATCTAGTCTCCTTTTGATCGATTTTAGGCTAACCCGAAATGTTGTCCTGCCGGAAGCGGCAATCCACGATATGCGAACTCACATTTCTAACATCTATATTGGCCGTCAAGTTGGATCGGATGCATTTGCTAATAGCACCAGAGGAGCAAATATATGTATGACACCAGCAACATGAAGTTACTACACACAATTGAGACCTCACCTAAACTACTGGTAGGGCGTTATAAGTACACTGAGACTCGCACAATCTTTGCTGATATATACATTTCATCAGCTATCTGTGCACTTTCCCCGTCCTCGGAAAAGTGTTACATGGCTTATCCAAGACCAAGGAACTCGAGTACCTCGGCATTTTGACCTCCTTCTCATGCCCCCCAGGCATTAACGCGGCACCCGCGGCATCGCATGATGGGCTTCTTTTTGACGCAATAAAGGTTGACGCTGTGAACGTGACCACAAGGCCCAGCTAGCTGTTGTTGCTCTCGATGGTGAGGGATCCCCCTTAGCTACTGCCTCAGATAAGGGCAAGATAATCAAGGTGTTTTCTATTCCCGGTGCCCACAAACTTTACCAGTTCCGCCGAGGAACGTACCCTTCGCTTATCTCCCCAATTCCCCCCAACCTTATGCCTACCCCGCTCTGTGCTCCATCTGCGACGGAAACTGTCCATATATTCTGCCTCGGTGGACTGAATCTCCAAGAGCCCGCATCTGAATCTTTCAGGGCTACTGATTCGGATTCTGGGGGTTTGCCGACGAGATCTCTCATATCATCTCCATCAGCTGTGTTCCGAAGTCAACCCATGTGTAAAACTTCAGTGATTAACAAAAATTTGCTTATTGACCGCAGTCTCAAGAACTAACAAGGGTGGATGGGTGGTTCATGAGATCTCACTCGGGAGGAGTTACAGCTGTCAGTTCTCTTTTTCTTTTCCTCTCTCCCCTTTCCTTGCGTAGGTTGTGGGGGTATTTGGGGATTAAAGGATTTGGTCCGCCAGGAAAGGTAAGATGCCGATGCACATTAGAACTATACTATATTTGCAGTGAAAAGTGGTACTCGTAATGGCGAGCATGGACTATGTAAGAAACAAGTAACGCGGATTCGCAAGAGCCCAAACAAGGATTGCATTGCGACTAACACTCGCCACCGCCCTGTTGTAACCTCGTAATCCCAAGGGGAAGGTATGGAGGAGGGCACATAGATAAACCCTCGTCTCCTCCTGCATGTCTCCTATACCACCACACCACCATCCACCACTTTTTTTCTTTCGAAAATGTTCTCTAAAATGGCGGGTTTGTCAAAGCCAATTCCGGAGTTCTTTATTATTATTTTCGCACCTATGATACCAAGATTGTTAGCGACTAAATGGTGGACTTAGCAACCTTCACAAGACACGCAATCCCACTGGCTGGCATCGCCGCCACCACACTCCCAGCCCTCATAAACGCAACCAACGAGGGAGCTGCACGCCGAGAAAGAAAAAACAAGACGATTGACAAGCTGGCACTTGCAAAGGAGAAGACTCGTGCGATGGAGTTTGCTCTTGCCCGGGAGGTGGCACTGGCCCAGGAGATGGCTTGAGTTCGGGAGGCGGCACTAGCCTAGGAGATGGCTCGAGTCCAGGAGTGGGCTGTAGCCCGGGAGGTGGTCAAACCGTGATTAATATTAAAATTGAATTTCGCTTGCGGTGCGGCTCCGCCTTGAGTTGTCTTCAAGACCAGTAAGATATTGAAACCGCGTACCACATCAATCAGTGTCCGAGATGGCTGTGGCCCTCAGGAATCTGGGTTTAAGGGTAAGCGAGGTAAATGAATGAAATGAATAAAGCTTATAAAATCAAATATAAAAACAAAAGTTGAACCTGCTCTGATTGGCTCCCAGACCAACCAGCCAATACGAGTAGAATATCCTGCAACACTGTATTATCTCACCAAACTGACTATTTCCGTCCAGGGTACTAATCCCCTCGCCAAAATGCACTGTCCCAAATAGAACCTAGTACTGAAGGAGAGAGTCATGAGAAAATCGCGTTAAACTCTGCTGAGCAGCTTCACAGATGTAGCGCAATCTTTCTCTTCCTTTTTGGCTGAGGGCTAGGCCTTATTAGGGACATTTTTTTGCGGCGGGGAGATTAGAAACATGCACGGAGATAGTCAATTTGACAAAAAGATACGGGTACCGTATAATCTTGTGAAATCTACTATCTCAGGTGGCCCATAGTCCCACTGTAGATTTATTTTGGAAGGCTAACAGAATTGCAAATACCGGTTAGCGAGATCCAACACACCTAGCGGGCCGATCCTTTACTATATCAAGGGAAGGCTTATCCTTCTTGAGGGGGCTAATGGAGATAGTCAATTTCACGAGTTTTTAAGGTACGGTGCTGACTGAACCTCCAAAGCGCAGAGCCGTCGGCTAGCAGTGGTATACCAGTGCCGAGTGGGTAGTGGGCCAAGACATCGCTTGGCCAATCGGGAGGAGATTGTGTCCTTAAATACGGCTTTGTCCCCCAATTGCCCCGCCAATCATCCCAACTACACAAACTTCTGATTTTTCCTCCACGACCCACTGAATCAATACACGAATACACGAATACGCCATGGCCGGGCTCAGCCATTTTTTTGGTTTGTTTAAGAACTCCTGCGGTTTTGAAATGCCCTGTTTGCTAACTACATGTTATAATATTTTTCAGCTGGCGTTTCTAAGCAGAGGCTCCCCCTTATGATCATTCTTGCAAGCTTCGGAGGTCATCTCGCAGTATTCATCGACACGAGATACACCCGTCATCTTGATGCCCGTTATCGTCGTGATGTCGAGGAAGCCAATTGCGAGTATGAACGCACCTTTCGCGAGTATCAACGCATCGTGAACGTGAACCCTTTGCATGGCGGGCCGAGTAGCCTCGGCGAGTAGGGATTAAGGACCGAGGAATATTCCGCCGTTTCTAGCTCAGTCGGAATGCCCGTTAATTGTGGTGTTGGTTTTTGTCTTTTTTAGTTTGTTTCCGGGATGATAGGATCAGGGAGAGTGGCTGTTTAATGGTTTGAGCCTGCGATGGGGAGGTTTTACTTTTACTACGATGATCATAACTTGGGAATAAAAATAAAAATCCTGACCATGACACGTATAGTGGGGTTGGGGTGGTGCATTGTTCACAATTATTTGGTAGAAGCATGCACTAACATGTAGAGACCTTTTTGCATCAAACACGAGAGCTTGCTCTTATGCCAACCAAGTTCTCGGTGTTCTGACACTACTGCCACATATGTAATTCCGACTGCTTGATTTCCCTCAACTTTATCCACCACCGATAGGACATTGAGGACAGTCAATTTCGCCAGGCCTTCTCCCTGCCGTAAGTATAACCATTTACTTAGCCTCCATTTGGCCGCCGGTTAATGAGGGTGCTTCGTCAAGTGCATGCCCGTGATTGAGTCGGACCAGCAGAAACTGTGGTTTGCGGTGCCTTTCTTTTCGCTATGGGCATCCTGAGAAGATCGGATATTCAACAAGGGCAAATAAACGTTGACGGCAGCTACATCGACCTTACAATCGCGAAGACAGAGATCAAAGATGTTAAGGGTGAGCTGACCACTGTCGACTCCGACCTTACTGCTGGAAAAAGCGACGTTAATATTGGCTTACAACCCAACACTACGAACACAAGAAACAATCTCCTCAATCAACTCCGTTACGTGAGGCACGTTGCCTAGAGCTAACCTTTAGCATTTATTTCATCGGACCACAAGACATCTGAGGTTGATGAGAAGGATCCTTAATAATAAATCCATCGAGATTGCCTATACGGTAAGGTAAGGAGATACACTTACCGCTGCTTGCCCTAATTGGTTTCTCTAAAGTAAGTGGGATGGGTTGCTAGAGATGATAGAGGCTCGGGGGCTAGGCTGCTGGAGAATAATACAGGCCATGGGAGCCGGAGGCCCTATTTGGGGCTCATAAGAATTGATGAATAGAAATACTTGGTGTTACGTTTTTTGTCCGACACACAGGGCAACGGTGACGGGAGCGCAAAAGAAGGATACAGTGCCGGGTACCCAAAATCAACCAGAAACCAGCACGGGGGCAGTCTTCGCAAGTTTTCAACCATAACCATATCTTTAAGTAGATACAGCTTGATAGAAGTGCAAAGAAGATGCTCCTCTCTAATTCGATGTTTTATGGTTTTCAATCCGAGTAATGCTAGTTGAGATAGTAAAATTTCGAATTACACATTCGAGTAGATTTCAAGTGCCTGGCCCCATAACAAATAAGGTTGGGTCCCTGTTTGCGAGCACTTCTCGCCTGGGACTTGCGCCCAACCAACCGGGCTGGTGCCTTTATACATAGGAGCATTATCAGGATCAAGACAAAGGTGGACAGAGGAAGGCCCGCCAAACCAAAAATAAAATAGCTCTGAGCCATCAAAGCATCGTGAGATTCTCCCACTGTGAGTACCCCCGGAGAAAGTAGGCAGGACGAAGAAACAAGCCTTGCAAAATTACCGCTAAGAAAACAAAGGCCGGGCTCGCAACTTGAAAGTCTCAAGACACGGGAAGCGAGAGGCTGCACATATTTGCATAGCTACTGAGGGACTTCAGCCGAGTTTAGAAATGTTCAATACGAGCATGCTAGGTCGCAAATAAATATAAACGGGGTTTTGTGCTTTTATACAGTAATGGTTTTACTGCAGCCCTGACCCCAGGCTGAGAGGGACAGGAATACTGTGATGCTGGTATCTGCATCAGTCTGTTCCCATTTAGGCTTATTGGGGAGTTTTATGTACTGGAGTACAATGGTAGTTTTACAGGTTTCGTGGTGTAGTTGGTTATCACACCAGTCTGACACACTGGTGGTCCCCGGTTCAAGCCAATGTGAGATCAATTCTTTTTTTGTTTTTTTTTCCTCTCCTCTCGAGCTGGTTGTAGCGTTTGCCCTCCACCTCTGTGAGCCCGGTCCCCTTCTACGTACACTATTTTGTCCATCACTCCTGCTCCTTCCGGATGGGGCACCATGTCTGCTCCCACAAGCCCGAAGCCTTGATGCCTGTCTCTAGCCAAAATCCGATCCCTCACTTTGCAGCCTACGAGGGTCTGTTGCGTGTATACCGGTATGGGGGGTACTTACCCATCAACCACGTGACTATGTCCAGCAATGGTAGGGGTTAGGGCTATTGGAGAACTGCTCCAGCGGTCCCAACCTGCTTACATGTACCAGAGAGAAATATTTATAAACTAGGCAAGCTCCGTCTATAATCCCTTCATTCAACTGCCAGAGAGAAACTATCTTACCATGGCTACACAAATTCTCAAAACAATCAAGGAGGAGCAGAAACTCACAACTGCAGTCTCATGAAGGGCGGTTGGCATCACTACCCTGAGGTAGCCGTCGGGGGCCACGAAGTGGATTCTAGTAATAATTAGCATCTCCTCCATTGTGCTGGGCATATACTTACCTCAAGCCAAGGATATCGGTGTTGTCTTTCGGATAAAGAAGGCTTTTGAGGACTTTGGACGATACTGTTGGATCAAGCTGTCTGAATACAAGAAACTCGCAGTTAGTTGGATGAGGAAGGAATTCAACTTGTGGGTGTACGACCATCTCCTCACCCTGGAAGCCATTGAAGCAATAACAGATGCCCTCATTAGTATGTCCATTTGCCCTACAAAACTCCCTACCATCTACTAATAATTGTGCAGTTCATGATCACTTTCTTGGAGAATTTTCAGGCGCGGTAAAAGTACCAGACCTTGCCTACAGCCCCTGTATTAATAGGATAAGGAGGGCATTTCCAACGGTAGTCCTTGAGCCTGGGTGGACGGAATCACAGGAACAATTACTGCATGACCTCCAATTGTGGCAGGAAAGGAGACCGGGGGTTGTCAAGATTGTTATCTTGTTCAAATTGTATAGATCCTGGTTACGCAACCGAATTAAGGCCACCCTGACCTTCCGATATGTAGCTGGTCATGTACCGGCGATGTCCTTCTATGTATGCTCCTCCCTTCCCTATCGTACCTTCCTCTATCTTTCTTGCATCCTACTAACCAATACCCTCATCTTGTAGCCAATCTTTCCTCCTCCTGGCCAGCCTAAACCTGATCTATGGATAACAATAGATGAGCCTTTTGGGGGCAGAACTCCCGATGGGCTAAACCCGGAAACACAGCTCGAACCGACGTGTATCAATTTGGCAATCTCCTCATCAGCTCCGGGTTAGTCATGTACGATGACGTCAAGTGGATTTCTTTCCATTCCGGTTACGATTTTGGCTACCTTGTTAAGATTATGAGTTGTCTCCCTCTCCCTATGGAGGAGAGTGAGTTTTGAAACCTTCTGAGCAAGTACTTCCCGGCGCTTTACGACATCAAATTTCTTGTGAAGAGTTGCCCTACTCTCAAAGGTGGGTTGCAAGACATTGTGGAAGAGATGGGCGTTCCGTGGGTCGGACCGCAGAACCAAGCTGGAAGTGATAGCCTTTTAACTGCGAATATCTTGTTCGAGATGCGGGGAAAGTTTTTTCGACGGGAAAATTGACGATGCCAAGTATCTGAACATTATATGATCTATATACTTGTCTGGATTAGTATCGTGTATTGACATCTATACGCAGCGGACAAGTGTGGGGCCTTAATGGGTCAGGAATTTCTCCACCAAATATCAACGGAGTCGGAACCGTAGTTTACAATAATGGCGTTCCCGTGCCGTCAACTCCCACAACCGACCGAAACGGCCAGAACCCAGCCAACCCAGGGAACACGACCCCCAGCCAGCAGCAGCAACAGCAGAATGACCAACCAGGAACCCCCAGCCAGTACAATTTGCAGTACGGGAAGATGGGAGGAATGTAAATTTGCCGCTGGTTGAAGGAATAAACTGGGAAATCGAAATCGAAAACGCTGAAACTGAAGGGCAGGTGAAGGCCGTGAATTTCTTTTTTCGTTCCTTTAATTCCTTTTCCTTTTTCCGAGGAATTGCGGTTTCGGGGCTTGGTCTGCTTGGTCTGCCCGGCCTGTTGCAAGTTTTTCTTGTCTCCCTGTAAATCAGTATTTTGTTTTCCTGCTGGTCTCTCCAAATCACATACAATGTTGTTTTGTCTCGCATGTCGCTATTGGACACTTCTTTTTTTTTTTTCCTAATTCGTAGCGATAGTGTGCTGGGTGCAGTGGTGTACTGCAATTATAAGGGTTCTAACATATGGGATTTACTCTAGATTGTATTATCTTGTGCCATTGTAACGAGTGAGGGGCTGTGATGAGGTTCGCCCGGCTGGTTCTGGAATGGGGCAGCGTAAGTGGATTTGGAAGTGAGGGTAATTTTTGCGTGCCCTGGTTTCCTATGTTATAGAGGGTTATCGACAGCGTAAACGAGCTATGTTTCCGTATTCACTGTCCTCCTCTTCCCACCAGTACCGCTTTCCATCTTCCTCACCTCACACATCCACTCCCTCCCCCGGACTTGTTCAAACAAATAAAAGGAAATGAATCACCCCCACCGCACCCCATCCGTGTCCCACTCTGCCAATGCTATGAACCCAGCACGTTCCCACCGCCGCACCTTATCCACGTCAGTCCGCACCCCTGGCTCCACCATCCGCCCTCTGCGTGTTTCCCTCTCCTACCAACTCCCATCGAACTTGACTCAATCCCCGGCTCATCCCACCGAACCACGGTCACGGTCCCCAACCGCACCTTTGACCTCTACCACCACCACTCGCTGTCAGCCACCTAGATCCTCCCTCCCCCACTCCTTCTCCCTCCCATTTATCCGGCCGCAGGCACCCGCCGAACCGTGCAAACCCAGCCGCTGGTACGCACCCCCGACCCAAACCCCCCGGCACCTCCTCCCACTATCGCAGGTACCTCTGAGCGAGGACGAGGAGCTTGAAGAGCTGGCGTGCAAGTATGTCAGAAAACGCATACCCATGGGGTATTGGACCGGGAGGTTCGGGTCGCTGGTTGATAGGATGTGCGCTGAACGCCCGGGCGATCGGGAGAAAGAGAGGGCCAGAAGGGTGTTTATTGTTCTTGAGGGGTTCGCCATTGGTGGAGGGAGGGAGAGTTTGTTGGTTTGTTTTCACTCCTTGTGCTCCGTTTTATTCCCTTTGGTTGGTTGGTTTTTGGAGAATGTGGCTTACGGTTGGGTAGGAGTTCAAGTCTCAGTATGAAGCTGTAGCGAAAGTGGACGCGGAGGAGTGGGCGAGTGATGCTGTGTGAAGTTGGAATTGGATTCGGTTTTGTTTTCGGGGAGATTGACGGTATCTTACGTAGGGGGCTGTAATGTAGGGGGTTGGCTGCCATGACACATTATTCGTGTGATGGAAATACTGGATTACATTCTTAACGTTTGATTCGCACTTGTATCCGAGGAGTCGTTGGTATTTCAACCGAATTCATTATTGCCACCAGCAACTGCCTATTCCCGGATGGGGATCACGAAAATTGCTGCCCAAACTAAAAATCTCCAAGCTTTACTTTTCTCCCCAAGTATTTGCCCGATCCATGTTAGGTGAACGGAGGGCTACGAGAAAAAAAAACCTTAGAGATATCCTTCGCCACAAAGGAACCCACTCAAGTCTACTATTTCTAAATAAGGCTAGGCACCCTGAGCGGATTGACTGGCAAAAGTCGATCCTAGCCCTCCGTCTCATATCCCAATCCCGGGCCCTTGGGTGGCGAGCAAAAAATCTTGTTGCCTCGGATGGTCCGAAATCTTTTACACAGTTTCCATCAATGTTCCCTCGAGCAGGGCAGACTGGTCAGAGACACTTCCTGGTTTGCCTTTCGTACTTTTTCCCCGTTCGCCCGGTGTCTGGATGCTTTGTTTACCCTTGCTTGGTGGGAGCGGTTGTGATAGAAGGGAGGGAGGCAGGATGGATGGATGGATGGATGGATGGATGGAGCACGAGTGGAGTTTTGCCGTTTGGTTGAATTCGCTCATGTTTTCCATGAGATGGTATCCTGCCGTGTGGTATAAGAGTAGTGGTATCTGGGCAAGGGCAGTGGGAGAAATTGTTTCTTTTTATGAGCCTGGCCAGACTTTGGTATTGTAGGGCGTGTGGCGGTATTGGAGGAGTTAGGAGTACCCCTAGCGCGGGCTAGATGACTTTCCCTCTTGTAATACTCGGATACAAATTTCCGTAAATCACAGTCACGATATGCATGGTATCCACTGGTGGAAGGTTAGAAGTGTGATGGTGCTCTCTCCCAACAGAGGCGAGAGCAACCCGTACGTTTTCCCACAGACAATTCTCCAGTGTAGAGCTGTGCCAGTCGAATTGGCGGGACGGTTCAAGGTATTGCCTTCGTCCCGCCCACAGGAGGGAGAAAGCAGCCCCCCAAATTTCCATATTATGACCCTTTTCAGTATCCAAAATGGACCACTTCCGGACGCTTGGAGCGAAGAGTTTATAAACTCCAGCTGGCTAGCTGACCGGTGACCATACCCATCCAACACATCCCTCAGATTTCCCACAAGCAAGGGACGACGACCTCCCTCCCCGTAAATTTCCAAACTTCCCATCCGGTTTGTCGGGAACAACAGATGTGATGCTTATTTCGACCCGAGGACACGAAGGCGGTATTTCTTTCCCGGGGGTTTCGTAGTGGGAAGTGATTCGGGTTGTCCCGGGTAGTCATATGTTTTCTGTTCCCTCCACGCGCTCAAGAGGCGTGGTGTGGAGTTCGGTGTATCGGACTCTGAATGTGATGTTGGTTTCAAGGCATGCTGGTCCGGAATATTGGAGATATCTGTGCAATGGGTGAATTATATGTAGCCGGTCTGACTAGAAGTATCAGCACCAAATCGAGAGGAAATAGGGCCCGGGATTAAGAAAGCGGATGAGTTTCTAGAGTTTAAATCAAGACGTGGTTAGAAGGTAGCT